TGAGCTAGATGACCTCTAAACATCCCTTCCAACCCAAAGCAACCTATGATACAAGCCAGGATGCTGTTGACCTTGACCACCTGGGCACACTGCTGGCTCATGTTCAGCTGGCTGTTGACCAACACCCCCAGGTCCTTTTCAGCCAGGCAGCTTTCCAGCTGCTCTTCCTCAACCCTGTAGCGTTGCATGGGGTTGTTGTGACCCACATGCAGGACCCGGCACTTGGCCTTGTTGAATCTCATACAATTGGCCTCAACCCATTGATCCAGCCTGGCCAGATCCCTCTGTAGAGCCTTTCTACCCTCAAGCAGATCAACACTCCCATCCAACTTGTGTCATCTGCAAACTGACTGAGGGTGCACGCAATCCCCTCATCCAGATCATTGATAAAGATATTAAACAGAACTGGCCCAAACACTGAGCCCTGAGGAACACCGCTTGTGACTGGCCACCAGCTGGATTTAACGCCATTCACCACAACTCTTTGGGTCTGGATCATGACTTACACTGATGCATGGATTTTAAAAATAATTTTTTACTTGAATTTGTATGAAGCTTTGTCAGATTAATTAAAAAACTACTCATAAGCTCATCTTTACATTCATTTTAATCACAGTTTATAAATCTTAAGACTAGGTAGTTTTATTTGTAATTCATGCTCAATAGAGCACACTCAACTCTATTGAGTTGGAAAAATATGCTTTTTAGCCTGTGGATGTGCAGTGACTCAAACAGCTGCATGTTTTTCTGACATTACTGAGTGAACTGGGTGCTTGTTTCATTATCATTACAAGCTAAAACTTCTTTTATCTTCAAGTTTGCTATCTGTAACTGATAATTATCAGTCAAAATTGCATCAGAGGTGGAGAAAAAATGTATTTAGACTTTTACAGCAAAGGCATTGAATCCCATTGTGTACAGCTGGAAAATTTAACAAGGAGAGCCTGTGCTTGCTTCTGAACCTGCATTTAGATATGGCTGAATTGGTTTTAAAATGGCCAAAATTATTTGGGAGTTCACAAATGCAAATAGAGCTGATATTATTTTTTTCCAAAAAAAGTGTTCTTTGGGAAAACATGGACCCACAGTGGCAGAGGCAGCCTGTAGGAACACAGCTCTTCCACCCACATGGACACAGACAGTCTTAGGAAGGCTAAATCCTGCTTCCCTGCTTTGTTTTCTAGGGGGACCTGATTTCGCGGGCCAAGCAAAAGTGGCCTGCCGGTCAAAAAGGTGGAGACCTGGTTCCGGCACCAGCGGGCCCAGGACTGGCCCAGGCTGATGAAGGAGTTCTGTGAGGCCAGGTAGGTGGGCCAGCAGAGGCTTTTGGCAATGGAGACCTCCAACAAGGTCCGCACACCATCACCATCCCCCGCCCCGTCCTTATCCCCAAACACATTCCCAGAGGAGCCGGCTGCCAGCTGTGGCTGTGAAAGGAAACTTTGTACCATGAGGCTGGGTCCCACCACTGCATGCACTGGCAACACAGCCACCATGCAGCGCTGCCAGATTCACCCTTCCTTCCTTTCCACTTTTAACTTTAAAAAGTTAAAGTTGCCTCAGAAGAGTCCATTGGCATTCATGCTGATCAGGTTTAAATCTCAAATGCTGGAGGGATTTTGAGCAGCAATGCCATTTGCAAAATGTGTCAAACTTCTTTTCAAGATGAATTAAAAATTAAAATTTTAAAATATTCTCAGCATGGATCATTGGGCATAAAATAAATCCATGAAGTACAGTTAGTGGGCAGTGCAAGCCATGAACAAAGGGAGGTAAAAACTGAAAAACACCAGAAAGCACCGAAATCTTCATAATATTCTTTTTCCTCAAGCTATTTGCTCTCTCATATGAAATCTTCCTGCATATCTCAGTAATACATGGAGTCAGCATGGAGAGAGGAGTCACCCAGTGTCTCGATCAAAAGAATCGGGTTATGTCTGGTTCTCAGCTTGAGGTTTAATGCTGTATATATACAAAGACCCCCATCAGGTACAAGATCTACTCTCCCTCCCCCTCTGAAAAATAAATCACTCAGTGCTTGAATCCTGTTATTATGCTTTTTAAAAAATATTCTCCTCCTGAAAGCTTGTTCAGTGCTCCACCCTGCAGGCATTTCTGAGGAAGCTAATAAAAACCCTGCTATTCCTGTGCCACCACTGGGAAAAATTATGTGCCTTCCACAGGCTGTGGTATATTTGTATAGGTAATCTACAAACACCCACATAACAAAAGGAGACAGGTAGAGGCATCTTGGTGTAGTCATGCTGCATACTGTATAATGCTCACAGAGTACACCAGGAATTTGGGCACAGCACAGAGCACAGCAAAGCCTGGGTGGGCTGTGGATACCCTGTTGCCTTAACAGCACATGTGCCTGTGCAAACAGAGCTGAGGTTCTGCAAATCCCTGTCGCATAGGTTCCCTTGTGGGCTTTGCAATGTCGCAGGCACAGCCTGGGGAGCTATTCCAACTCTGGAGGAAGTCTTCATTCCTTGTTTTTTCTGTTTTAGCTGGAGATTTGCATTCTATTTCACTTCATTCTTCTCTGGGCTGGCTCTCCTGTATGATGTAAGTACATGAGCAGCATGATGCTGTGGAGTGACACCTTTCAAGGGTTCCTCATTCATGGCAAACAAAGCTGATGGTCCTGGGCTATTTCAAAGACCTCACCCAAAGATCATGTGTGGCCATGACTATGGGTCCAAAGCCAAAGAAGGACAAATTCAGGGGCATGGAGCAGAACTATCCCAGATCCAGATCCAGCAGAACAGTCTCCCTTTCCCTGGGTGGACCTGGCTAGGTGTCAGTCATGTTACCATGGTTTTCTCCCTGTCTTAGATCATTGTGTAAGTGATTCCCCACTGATACCCAGACACAGCCCTTGCATCCCAGCCAAGAACAGATCCTGTCCTGGCTGTGGCTGCTGCACATATCGAGACCCTCCATGTGACACCCTGTGCATTCACTAATGACAAGAGCACTTTGCCAACCATGTTTTTCCAAAGCTCAAAGGCAGATAGGGTCTAGCATGGGCACACTGACTTCTTGAAGTACTTCTTCACATAGTCGTTATGTGTCATTAAAAGGCTATGGGTTCTTACTGCTGCCTCCTCTCTGTACAGAAGCCCTGGTTTTGGGACCACACCATGTGCTGGCTGAGCTTTCCACAACAGGTGAGCAGGAAGTACATGGAATCACAAGATAATTCATATTGGACGGGGGACCAGGAGGCCTCTTGTCCAATCTCCTGCTCGCAGCACTCAGCTGTGAGATCAGACCACGTTACCCAGGGCTTTCTCCAGTCTAGTTTTGAAAACCTTCAAGGATGGAGACAGCACAACCTCTCTGAGCAACTCTTTGATTGCCCTCATGATGAAAAAGTTTCTCCTTACATCCACCTCTCTTGTTTCAACTTATGCCTTCTGTCTCTCATCCTCGCACCATGGCAAACAGCTTGGCTCTGTCTTCTTGACAAGCTCCTTGTAGGTGCTCCATGTGATAGCAGATGGAGAGTATCTGCCCTGAACAGGCACCTCTTTTCAACGAGTTTCTCTGTAACCCAAGCCTGGCTGGAAGTGGCTCCATGTGTGTGGCCACAAAAGGGACCAGGCAGTCAGGACATCCCTCAACCTCTTGAAGCAGAGATGGAGATGAGAGGCATCCAACCCCCTGCAGAGGGGAGACCCTGGCTTCTCTCAGTCCCTCTGCAGACTGGCCAGGTCTGGTCCTGCCTTTGGATCAGTCTTGACAACAGTGCATCAGGAAACAGTTCAGTCATGGCAACATGAAAATTTAGGCATGACCAATCCCTGCTGTCCCAAATGTGGGTTGAATCAAGGTGCTTTGCGCAGGAAGACCCTACCCCTCTCCCGTCCCCCAGGGCTAGGCAGGGGTGTCATGCTGCCTGTCTCTTGTCTCGCAGCCTCTCCCGCCTGCACTGGGCTGGTTCTACCTGCTGGAGCACTCCTTCTACTGCTCACTGGTAGCCACCCTGCCCTTCGACGTGAAGAGAAAGGTGAGTGACAGCAGCAGAACCACAACCCACTGGCTTGGTCAGCCCCCACCATGAGGCTCTGCAGTCCCATTGTCAGCTCCCTGGGGGTGCAAAGGACACATGCTGCTGTGAAGATCCCTGAAGACATGAAGTCCCTGCAGCTCTCGTATCCCACCATTGCACCTTGTGCTGGGTCCCACTCGTGTGCGGCATGGCCTTCCTGCCTGCTAGGCCAGGGAAGCACCAGGGGCTGCCAAGGGACAGCCACTGGGTGGATATGGCATCATGGCCCTTTCCAGTTCTGGTCTCAGGTGCTGCCTGAACCAGAGGGCTATGTCCTCCTGATGGGAGGGAGCTAGGCTGTTGTGATGAGGATCCTGTAGATGAACATATGACTTTTGCAGCATGGCATGGGGTGAACTCCTGGGACCCACAGACCCAGCATCCACTGTTGCCCTTGCCTCATTCTGCAGTGGACACTTCACAGAGCTCTACAGATCACTGCACAAGCTGAGATACAACCTCAGCTTCATTTGATTGTTTAATTTGGCAATCACATCTCTCTTCAGAAACTTCATGCTTTTCCTCAGAGATGGGCTTCTGCCCAGCTCTCACAAAGCATGCCCTGGGTCCCAGAGGACCTGCAGAAACACTGTATTAAAATTACCAACACTGCAGTAGTCTTTGTAGATAAGTCGGTTATTGAACACCTGCAATGCTTCCAGAAGAAGCAGGAACCCACTGCCTGGCAGTGATCCTCCCTGGGCCAGAGCCAGAGCTGCCCTTCCCAATCCTTCCACAGAGCACTCAGGAGTCATCTCACACCCCAAAGCATTGCCTTTTTTGCACATACAGATTTCGCCAAGAAGGCATGAACACCCAGCAAGGTCCTCTCTTTACCTGAGGTACGTGAAAAGACATATTTCCCACCTTCAGTATCTCCAGCCCATCTCTGTTGCTACCTCTCCATAAGCAGCACAGGGAGATTGAAGAGCTACCTACACTATGGCTAGTGGATAGGACCTGCCCCATGCCAAGGCAATCTACTGTCATTACAAAAAGCGCTTCAATACACAGTGGAGGAGTCTGGGAGGAAAATATGGGGTGTTAAGAAAGGAACTGTGTAAAGGCAGATCGATTCCTGGAAAATTTATTTAAAAAAAAAAAAAAAAAATCTGTCTTCTAGCATGTTTGCACCTATGTGTGCCTCACTGGTATTTATCTGGGTTTCCATAAATTTGGCATAAAGATGTTCATTCTTCTTGGGATTGTGCAGGACCTCAGCACAGTGGGGAGAACTGATGCTTTGTGGAGGTGTTTGACATGTCCTTGTGAAGCAGCACCATCCAGGAACAGGTGCTGCCAGGTCAAGGTAGGCTTGACAAATAATATCTCTTCTCATGCCAGGACTTTAAGGAACAGATCATCTACCACTTTGCCACCATCACTCTGATCTTTGTCTCCTACTGTGCCAATCTTATACAGTTTGGGATGATAGTCATGCTGGTCCATGATGGCTCTGATTATATTTTAGAGGTGAGTTACCTTCACCCAGAAGTGCAGATCTGGGCTTGTGTCTGTGGGTAGCACTGGAAACCATGTGCCTTACTACATATGATGCATGTGGATGCAGTGGCCCACACGACAAGTGGGCCACACGTACGCTCATGCCAGTGCATTTAGGAAGTATCAGATTTACTGCTCTTGGGGAAAAGTAAGCGAGTGCACAGGGACTGGGACACATCCCCACAAGCCTGGTAACCCTTGCAGGACATGAGAAATCCCTCAGCCCCCTAGAAGGAGAATACAGACACACGGGACATACGGCAATTTGTCTGTCCACAGCTTGCCAAGATGCTCCATTACATGAAATGGAAGCGGGTCTGTGAAGCAGTCTTTATCGCGTTTGCTGTGGTTTTCATCATCTCCCGGCTTGTCATTTTCCCATTAATGTGAGTTGGTTTAATGTTCTCTGAACATGGGTTTAATGCACTACTTGAGCTTCCACAGGCTTTTGATGCATGCCAGAGTTTGTGTAGGGATCATTGGAAGAAACCTTGTCAGCAGAGGTGCCAGTTCCCTGGCCTGCCTTGCTAATGTAAGCAGGTGACATCTTGGTAGCCTCCGAGTAGATTTATGAAGGCTTTGGAGTTCTGTGGCCAGAAAAAAGCCCAGCACAGTGTTGGTGTTATGCCTTCAGCTTATCTTGAACTACCCCTTCATTGAAGCTAAATTAAGAGAAAAAAGAGTTTTTCTGGAGGAAATGATGGAGCATACTCTCATCAGGTTTGTAGATGATTGTAAAACGAGGAGACTAGTCAATATGCTCACTGGACAAATATGTGTTGACTTTCAGAGCTTCGACAGTAATAAACTGCACAGGAAAATATGCAGAATAACTATATGTAGAATAAATACTAACTTATTTTCAGAAGGTCACATTACAAGAACATTATTAGGGTGACAAAAAAAGCATTCAAAAGTTAGGTGAAACCATAACAAAGTCAATCTCTGGCAGTTTAAGTGAACCTTCCAACGCAGGGACAATTGCAACACTGGCTTTAAGGACATGATCACGCCTGTTATTTTTATTTTAGCTGTCAGGTTAACACACCAGTGCTGTGAATGAAAACAGGACTAGTCCCCTCTAATATATATAGGTTTTGCAGCTCTTTTTAAATGTCTGTCTTTCCTACAGAAAAGAAAACATGCCAGAAGTGACACAGAGGAAAGTGACAGGAGCGAAGCAGAGGATCTGGCAAAGAACAAAGAGCAACGCAGGTCTCGCTGCAAAACACCAGGAGCCAGGCAGACTCTTAAAAGCAGGGAGGCTGAATAGGACCTGGGAGGAGAGGCCAGACAGGCTCACGGATGGCTTTACAGTAGTCTGCCTGAGGCATCATCCAATGTCTAGATGGAAGTGAATTTCATCGTAGCATTTACAAGCAGTTAAGTCACTTTAGGAGATGTTTTCTTCACTTCTCCTGTTGGACTGTTCTTTTACTACTACTCTGATCATTTATGCAAGAAAAATAAAGGTCTACCAGCCAAAGCCTCACTGTAAACAGGAGAATAGGGGTTGAACAAGCTGCTGCAATTAGTTATGACACCTAACTGTGGTTATCTCAAAACCTTCCCAAAGGTTCATGAGATAATAAATTACAACTGCTGAAGATTTAACTGACTTGCAATTTCAGAAGATCCTGGCAGTCATTGCCAGCCACCTCATGAAAGGACTTGCATGTGAAAGACACTAGCTTAAGTGGCAGATAAGTTTTCAGTTGTATATTATAAAATGGTCAGGCTTTGGGGAAGGATAAACCATTTCGGCAAATGAGGCCTGGCCAACTGATACAGGCTGTGTTTGCTGTATGAATTATACAAAATAGCTCATGTGTCTAAAAGATTTTGCTAACTGAATGTCTACTCAGGGAGAAGGCTCCTAAAATTGAAAGCAACTGAAACTCTTCCAAATGCACACTTTTCCACCAGAAATTATAATTTAATCCAAATGGACACTTTCCATAGGGATGTATTCATTTTGTTGAGGTTTCATTTTCAAAATTGGAAAATAAGAGTGTTACAATACTAACATTTTAATGGGATAGTTTCGGGGTTGGATGACTTCTCGCCTTGTAATATATTGTATCTGATGTTGATTTGTAGTAGAACATAAAATTTAAAGTCAATGTAAAAATGAATTACACCTAAACCAAAGAGTCTAGTTTACCTGGATTTTGCATGATGCAGAAGCTTTTTAGAATATCAGATCTTATGTCAGTAGGAAAATCCTCTTAGAAACTTGCTGTAGATCTGACATCACTGCTAACTCAGAGGCTCAGAAAATGCAGAGGACAGATAAATCTACACATACGATTCTGTCCATGAACAATATACAGAAACCTGCAAATACTGTCTTTAAAATATATTTTCTACTCAGGCTTGGAGTATGCTTCCAAAGTGCCTGACACATTTTACACAATACTAGGGGAAATTGTTTCTGAGAAATGCAAGGAGGTGGAGAATGAAGGATGGTGTAACTAAAACACACTGCTGTGAAAAACCATGGTCCATCTCCCACATCTGACCTATGCAAGGCAAAATATAAATAAAGTCAGGAAAGATGTGTGAGAGACCAGCAGAAGGAACTGAGCCAGCATTCCCTTGAAGGATTTTGACATTCAGATCTGCAGGAAGCAATGCTGAAAGGCAGCCAGCCACCTATCTCTGTGGGACACCAGCCTTGAGAAGGATGTCACCTAGCCCCAACTAGTACTTTGCTGGGTGTGCAAGACCCTTCATTAGGATACCTGGTGTAAGTGTTTGCCCAGGAATTATTTCAGCCTGTCCATCAAAGATGATGCTTTCTTTTCAAGTCCCGAATGATACACAAGATTCTCAGTTTTTAATTTATATAGCCTCCAGGGCACAAGAGTACAACTGGCCATCAAAGTACAGGCCCAGCCTTTCATTGCTGTGAGCCTCATCACGGGGGAAGCACTGACTCTGGTCTCAGCTCATGGAGCTGGCAATGCCACAGCCTGACTGGAGGCTGACAGATAGACTAGAGCCAAGGAGTGGAAGCCAGCCCAGATTGAGAGGGCTCCACATTTGCAGGCCTGAGTAGAGTAGGTCCTACCATCCTGACATAGTTCTAACAGTGGTAGGGTTGCTTTTAACCAACATGTCTCAGTTTTTAAGGCCTCTCCCATTCTCCAGAAATTATAATCATTCAGCTCAGGAACTCTCTTTAAGTACATTTTCCTTTCGATGTTGCTGTGTCACATCAAATAACAGACTCTGCTAACATAGATGACAACACTTGTAGTGCAACCTCCCAGGTCGGACACTGTTGCACTCCCCCCTTCTCGTTGAGTCAAGCAGCCTCGTATGGCAACCATTCTCTCAGCTGCTCCATCCTTGGGAAGCCTCAGCACCCTTGGAGATCTATCCCCTACTGCTGTGCTAAGTCCACAGTCCTGCCCATCAAACCCTATTTCTCATACAGAGTCTTTAATTAAGGACACGTGCAGGTCCCTGCTCCTTGCACCCTCATTTCAGTGCTTTGGGATGGGGATTTTTATTTTGGGTCTACACAGCAATGAACCCAAAGGGGACTAAGGAAACTGAAGCAAGACTCTTAGGTGCCCCAGTTTACAAATGGTTATCATCACATACCTGAATGCATAAATCCAGAACAGCCTCCCTCCTTCTGTGGTGCTCCCCAGCCTGGAATAAAGGTAATTTTAGCCATAATTACATAAGCCAGGAAGCTTGCTTATTTCAGGCTAAAATGATACTGATACTGGGTATGGCTTGACTGCAGTGGTTGTTTGGGTGGGTTTTTTTTGTTGGGTTTTTTTTTTTTGCTTTGTCCTACAGCACTAAGGTTTACTCTGGACTCAGATGATTCAAATCTCTGCTGAAGACACACATTTGATTTATTATTTTACTCCTACAACGTTTATCTAACACTGATGCAATGACTTTCCTGTCTCTCCCGGTTGTTCAAAGGACAGAGAGCTACAGAGGTTAAAGGTCAGAGCAGCCCTTTATTTGGCATCAACCCTGAGGAGTTTATGTACCATAACAATGCTGACCACTATTTCCAATGATGACCTGCAACCTCTGTGTAGACACAAAGGTTTCACTGGCTTTTGCTTCAGGTTCATTTGCCAGGTAGAAAAAAAGACAAAGGAACAGATCTATTTTCAAAATTAAAAAAATCTCACAGACCAAACTTGATGCAATCTAACTCCCATCAACTGTAAAGCACATGCATTTTTCTTTTTGGTTATGCTGGATCTGGCATCACTCATACCCATGTATCAAATCTTCGCACAGAGACACACCCATGAATAGGAAGGGGGCAAGGGAGTTCATTATCTATGACCTGGCACATATCAATGTATGGATCAAAGAGGACTACAACAGGGAGGGCACTGTTCCCCTTCCTCTGTCCAAGGAGATAAATTTGTCCATTCACAGTGCTACATCCCATAAAGAACTTCTGGGTCAAGCATTCCTCATCCACCTGGGTCCATTCATCTGTCTCCACATCAAATCGAAAAGCTCCCCCTCCTATGGTGTACAGAGCACCATTCAGTGATGTGATGCAGAGGTCATACCTGGGAGGGAAGAAACCCTTGATCAGAATTAATAGAAAGATCTGGCCCCTGAAATACTCAGTGCGACTTTGGTCCTCATATCAGGAGTCCCACTCAACCAGAGAATCACACAAGTGTTGGTGGGACAGGACTTCTGGATTTCTCCAGTCCAACCTCTTCTTGGAGCAGGACCAACACTAGAACCTTTCTTCTCCTGCCAGGTCCCAGAAGATTATTTCTTACCTTGGAAGCGGGGAGAATGATATGACATCCCAGTTGTCCGTCTCTGTGTTCAGCCTTTGCACTCCATCATATACATGTCCATTTTCATCCAGGCCACAGACCACATAGATCCTGGTTCCCACACTGACTGCATCTCCTCTCTCCACAGGTTGAGCCATAGGACTCATGCTTTCCCACTCTGACTCCATCAAAGCCATGCGCTCCACTGCCGGGATTATCCCTTCATCTGTGCTGCCTCCAAGTACATACAGGTAGAGCCCTGCTCCTACTGCACAATGGCTATTGCGGGACTTCTTCATGGCAGGCCCTTCCAGCCAGCTATTGTCCAAGCAATTGTAGATAAGCACCCAATCCACACTATACCACACAAACTCATCCCGGAAATATCCTCCTGTCACAAAAAGGAAGCTCCCTGGAAAGACAGCAGAGAAAAGTATCAGTTACATGAAGGCTGAAAATTGCTCCTGAGAACTAGGGTTCTCGTTTCTCCCTGGGCTGTACTGATGAGATGCAAGATGAGCAGAGAAGTACTGCTCTTTGTATCAGTTTGCAGTATTTGATAACTCATCTGCACAGATATGCTAGGCCTACAGGATGCAGTAAGCCCTTCCAAGTCTGTTCCCACTCACGAACAGAATCATGGAAACACTGGTTGGAAAGAACCTCTGGGTATCTCACGGCCAAATTCCCACTTGAAATGGGACTATCACGAACACTAAATAAGGGAAGCCATAGGATTGAGCTGTCTCCAAGCATGAGGATTTCACAACATCCATGGGTAAGTTTAACTTAACAGCAACTATAAATCAGAAGTCACCATCTGTCAAAACCACATGAAAGACAAGGCCAAAAAAATATGCTACTTAAAGTGAAGTCATTAGACTCACTCCAGATAAGGCTAATGTAAGGAGTTCAATAGTTTCTGCTATATGAAAAGAAATATGCAGCCCTGTGTAACATTCTCCCAGGACTAAGGAAAATAAAACCATTCTTTGAATGAATATGAATACAAATATGAATGAGGTTTTAGCAACGCTGAACAAGGCAGGAGAAGCAGCTGAACTCACTGCATTTGTGTCTCAGCCTCAAATTCTGTTTGCATTTGCTCAGTCCCACTTCTCTGTAAGTTACCTACTGCTGCCACTGCATATTGGGTGAAGTTCCTGCGCTGCAGTGGAGAACAAGCTTGCCAGGTCCCTGTTTTAGGTTGAAAGAGAAATAATTCTTGCTGTTCCTTGTCATGCTTTCCTCCCAGGACATATAAGGTGTCATAGCTCCGACCAGCATAAGGACACAGTTCCATATTTTGCCAGCTGGGTGGAGGACAGCTGTCTAACTTCTTTATTAATCTGGAATAGGTATCTGTCTCTCCAGGGCACTTGCTGCGTTTCACCAAGATATCAAGGAAGGACAAACTCAGAAAAGTGACCCTGACTTCGCCCACCAAATCCAGAAAGTCTTCCTCTCTCGTTGCTGGGTCCTCCATTATCCACCTCATAATACTGTCAAAAACCACATCTTCTCGCAAAACGAAGAGGTCATCGCTTTTTAGGAGCTGCATCAGCATTTCTTTGGGTAGTGCCTTAAATTCTTCCTGGCACATCACATCCCCCCAGTGAGTGAGAGCCACATTCATAGCAGATGCATACAGCTCTATAAAGGCAAATTGCTGTGAGTAGGTCATCAGGCCCAGGCAGTTGGAAACATGCAGCTCTCTTTCCAGAAATTTCTCACACAACAGTTTCACCTTGTCAAACTGAAAAAAGTCAGCTGTTTCCAGTAAGCTGGTCACATTTTCTTGACCTATAAGCACTTGAGCTGTGCGAGTGAACTCAAGTAGTGCCTGAAAAGGCACTGCATCAATCCCTCTGATCACTATGTGGTGTTCAGAGCTCTCTTTTGCCCCCCCAAAAAACATGGCTTCAAAATAACGACTGTGTACTGAAAGTACCCTACGGCTGACCTGAAAGAGTCTCTCTCCAACCTCAAGAATTGTGTCTGCAATCATTTCTGTCTGAGGTCCCAGCTCCTCTGGTTCTTGTGCAGGCTCCATGCTTGTTGGGTGCCAGACAGTTAAAATTAACTCAGCCCTTATGCAGCCTTTACTCATGTGAGGTTTCTGGAAACATTATCCCCCTAGCTAGGATAAATACAAGATAAGCCAATCTTGTCCTAAAAATAGAGTATGTTTTCTACCCTCCTGCTTTGCTCTTCAGTCCTTCCTGCTGCTTTCAGAGCAGCAATAGCAGGAAAGCTGTAGAACCAAAAAAAAAGCATACTTAATTGGCATCTACCTTAGCCAGGTAAGACTACAGCGAATCGGGGAGCTGTTAGCTAATAAGCAAAGAGCCTGGACTACAAGGAGGAAAGAAGAGAAACAACCAAAACCTTCCTAAGCACTAACTAAATATCAAGAGGTTGTAGAAGAACATTGAACTTGGAAAAAAGTACCCATTACAATACTTTTCACTTCTGCAAATCCAAAACATAGGAAAGCTGGAGACTTCCTGGGAAAAAACAATGATTTCCCAAAGCCACATCCTTCAATCAGTTCAAGTTTAGTATCAAATTCCAGATCGCTTGCAGTATTTAGTACATATTTAACTTTATACTTTAGTAAGAGATGGGGGGAAGGAATGAGTCCCCATTCAAACCCAGACGGCTGTCACGGTCATCCTCAAACTCAATGCACTAAATAAATACAGTCACAGTACAAGCAACAGCTCACTGATTCCACATCGTGAATTTTTCCAAAGTGTATAGACCAAGCCATTAAGTGGAGAGATTTGCATAGTGACTTTGAACAAGTGCTCCTTATCCCAAAGAGCCCATCCCAGCAACACTCAGTCCCGTTGGAATTCAGCAAGCAGAAGAGTGCTGTCTGGATCAAGAGCACAAGAGCACCTTTTTTTTTGCTGGAGGCTCCCTGCTGCATTTCTGGAAGAGGTTTCTGCAAAACTGCTGTTACAAATGGTTTTATAAAGAGTCACATTTAGGAATGAATCCAATAGAAAAGCACATACACATTTAAAGTTCAGTTATCATTTTCATATTCTTATTTTCAGGTACTTGACTCCCAAATATAACCCCGAAGTCTGCACTGCAGAAAAGCACAGCCACGTATCTTGCAACAAAGACTGAGCAACCTATTAACTGAGCAGGAAATGCTGGAAACATGCCCCTTTCCAGAGTTTATGCACTTGACACATGACTTCAGGCAGATCTCTCTGTACCCTCCGCATCTAGAGCCTGGAACCCACTCAAGAGAGCTTCAACAGGTCTGTTTCTGACGCTACACTTGGAAAACAAGAGAGTGCAGAGATGGTGCAGCATGTTATTGGTGCCAACAACCAGCAATCTCTCTCCCACCTAATGGACAGTTCAAGACTCCACTCAGGCTAATGGCAAGCAAATTCTGCCTCAAGCACTCTAAATAAGGAGTCTCTTTGGAATTGTGCAATTGCATGAAGAACAAGTTTTGTAGTGTGAGAAAAAAATTATGTTGGAAGTGTTGTCCAAAACTGATGCTGCTATAGATGTCCATTGTAAGGCCGTACCCTAACTATGCTTTTGTTTAGTGAACAGATTGTCTGAGAGCAGTCAGCGTACCAGGTTTAAGGCTTTTATACAATATGCTTTTGTTTAAGTTAAGAGATTGTCTGAGAGTAGAAGCCTAGGTGAGGTATTACCGACTTGATCAGTAAACCACAAGAAGTTACATAAAGACCTGCCAAGAAGGAAATTAGGGGAAAGATAACTCCGGCAGGGGGAGATCACGACCACCAACTCATGAGCACCCAACTGCAATTACACTCCAGACTCAATTGAGGGACAACTGAGCATGCGCATTAATTTAAATAGTAGGCAAAAAAGTTTTAACCAATCATAGCACTGCATATGTATTAGGGAATTAAATATGGTAATGAATGTGTATAAATAGAGGCTGACTTGATGATTCAGTGTGCTAGCTTTGTGGAATTACCACCTAGCACCCATCTCTGTGCAAAAATGAAATAAAACAATAACTTGTCTCAGTGTGTGAAGATTGGCTTATTGCACACCAGGTAAAAATCCCTACTTGGGACAACAGAAGGACCACGACTCTACAGACAGCTCTGTGAAGCACTCAAAAAGTGAACCCCTAGGAGACTAAAATCCAGAAGCACTTGGGTTTACACAGGCAATATGCCACACAACACAACTGGTCCCTAGTTTCATAGCTTCCTGGAAGAAGTCAGATACACTGAACTGGAATTTATTTACTTCAAGTTCCCATCCATTTCAGAGCTCACCCAGGAAAGGGTATGAATGGGAGTACAGTGCTGTTGCCAAAATGAACAGTCAATACAACCTGTCCTTGGCATGTTTTATTGACAACCTCTAAGAACAAGACTGCTGGTGTCACCAAAACAATTTACTCTGCCACAGCCTCCTCATAAAGGGTCCTCAGGAAAAGCAGGTGGCAGAAGCAGGTTACATACAGCCTATGGGCACATATCCTCTACTAGACAGTCTTTGAAATGCCTAACAGAAACACACGAGTCCTCAGAAAAGGGACCAGATGCTCTCAGTACTTTCTCAACGATTTCCTCTCTTAGAGCGGAGCATGGCTTCTGATCTGGTCCCTCCTGATTTTGCTGTGTTTACGCATCTCCTGAACAAACTTCATTTAGATTTACAGCTCTGGAGAACTGCAATGTCAACTGTACAGCACCTTTTCAGACTGCAAACCAGACATTTAGGAACAGATTAATTTGTATTTATTCATTCAAAACTCCTCAAATCTTGCTATTTCTGCAGTATAAAAGAAATAAAAATGTTTACTTACATCAAGTTGTAACAAACAGAACCACAAGTGGATAGCTACAATATAAAAATATGCAGTATTTCCAGACACTGCCTACAATTGAACATTAGGATCTTAAATATTCTTCCCCTAAAATTCCAAGTATCAAATAGATATTTCCATAAGGTTCATGTCACTCAGCCAAGAATCATCCTAGAAGTCCAGTCTTCTTGTAGCAATGTGGGAGCCTTCTGATACACAGATCACAGCCCACAAGATCTGGAACACGTGCTATAAAAGATCTTCTTAGCTACATAGCTTGTACAGGTGATGACAAGATACTATACAAGGAAAGTAATTTCCCTGCAAGCGCTGGAGCAAGCAGGCAAAAGAGACTAAACAGCAGGAAGACTACAACACAATGCTTCCCAGCTGAGTACTGACATCTAAGAGGAAGGAAAACATGTTCTAATGTATTTAGGCTTTAGATTAATTTAGATTAAATACATTTTTAATGTATTTAAAAATGTAAATAACCAATATTCAGGGCATTCTTTACTAATTTTATGTGGTTGTTTCAAAACTCACAAGATCAAGAGGGTCTCAGACAATTCCATGACAATATATTCTCTCCTGTCAGCTCTAAATGATGTAGTTACACATTTATTTGGGGGGGTGGGAATCAGAACTTACTTCTTACACACCATGCCCCATCCTCTCATCATTTATGGAAAGCCATAAAAATAAAAGTTAACCATTCTGTCACACTAACAAATACATAATCAAACTCCTCCCCCAAAACAGGGAGCTTCTCACACAGTGATAGTTCTTTCCAATGATTTGCACCCTTGAAGTCTTCAGAGGCAATCCAAAGAAAGCATTAGCCATCTTGCTGCTGAATGAAAGGGTTTGGAATAGCTTCCATTCCATCCTGTGGACAAATAAGAACCACAGAAGTCCCTCTGCAGACCACAAGTCCCAGCTGACGTGTGTCTTCCGTTAATTTGTATTGATCATCTGGATCTGAAAAGCAGATATCCACAGTTACAGTGGCAACATAAAGAAAAGAAACCAAATTCTATCAACTTCAAAAGGCACAGACATACTTTTTTCCCCCAGGTGTCTCTGCACTGTTTTACTGAACACGTGGACTATAGAATTGAATCAGCAGTAATATCTGATGTCTTCAAGACATTATAGATTTACTAATTTTCAAAGTAGCACATGCCACAGTGAGCAATAAAGAACTTCATATGCAAAGCAGAACACATATCTTTTAAAGAATTCAAAGGCCCTTTCATTCATCTAACCAAAAGCACACATACAAGTGATTAAAAAAGCTCCTGATCCCATTTCAAATGCCATATAGACAAGTATTTTGGGATCAATGCAAATCAGAAAAAGACCCTGACTTCAGAATGCACTAAGTACAGAATGCACTGGTCCATTCCCAGACCAAGCCAAACAAAGCTGTGGATGAGGACAGACAGACACTTAAGACAGCAACGGCCAATTCTACCCTCCTTGAGATGTCAATATGTTTAAAAAAAAAAAAAAAAAGCATTACACTCATCTTTTAAAATTCCCTTCTAAGAGCAAAATTAAAGCTTCAGGTGCTTCCTTGTAAGCAGGCAAGAGAATACTCTTCAAAAAACACTGTCATATCATATGATAAATTTTGTTTCAAAGAGAAAGGGAAATGGGAGTGTTTATCCTTGGATGGGAAAAAGAAACAAATAATAAGAAAAAAACCCTACAGCTCTATTAGCTGTAAGAAGCCATAGAAAGCTTTAGTTCCACAGAAATGCAGAGTACATTTACAGTAGAGTTTAAGACAGTAAGATACTGGTTCTTACTGAGATGCTTTTCCTGCTTTGAGGAAACCAGCAACCCTCCAGCAGTATAAACAAAGGCAAAGGCAATTGCCTTATCTGAAGAGACACGCTACTTTTTTCAAGCTTTAGAGGACAAGAGCACCAAATGAGTTAGAGGAACTCAAGCAAGGACTACCAAGAATGTTCTACCACAGGCAATGTGCTTAATCTAACTTCTGACTTCTGTTATCTTATCCCTTTCTTTACAACTTAGTTACCACAAACATGTCTCAGTTCAGATGATGTCAACCTGCAGTTTCTGGTTATTCACTCAGGGCTGTAAGATTTTCATTAAGAAAATTATTGGGGGGGGGGGGGGGGAAAAAAAAGATAGCATATTACTTACCTCGCATATATTCGATGGTACCATCGAGCACAAGGTTCAGAAGAGGGTCAAATCCTTTCAAGACACCACTTGCTATTGAAGACCACACACAACACAATGATTAGAGACCAAAACCAGGTATACAGCAACACAAGACTGCGTGAAGGACGCATTCAGTCCTCCAGCTCTGTTCCCTCCTTCAAGCAAAGCTATCAAGCAAATGAGACCAGAGATATTAAAGAGTGCCCTCTTTATCAAATTGCAAATGCACGAGAACACAGTTTGTCTTGTGCCAACTGAAACTTACAGGTTTTTCAACCAATTCTTCAAAAAAGCTCTTCAAGATACTAACATTATTGTTTTCAGCCAATTTCAGGTGCATTTTAAGAATACTTCAGCATAACAAGTCAATGCAAGTCACACCACACACAACCCCCCACCAAAAAACAAAACCACAACCAAGAAACCAACAACCTCAAAACCAAACACCCTTAGCGAAGGGGTATGGCAAGAAAATGAGGCAATACTGTAATGTTTTGAAGTGTTCCTCAGAAAATCAATCTTCCAGGTCCCCTCCTGGAACATAATCTCTTTAGAATAAACACTGCCTTTGTAGGAATGCACTGCAGATAGACAAGCACTTTGTCCTAAACCAGAATGTGATTCCACAACACTGGTCACTAAATAAGTTGCAAGACTACACAGAGTGATCTCCCAGTTTGAAAAATACTTGTTGGTTACCAGCATTACTATCACTGCTAATAGCCCAAGTCATAAAGACTCTTTAAAATCCCAGGAGTTATATGAAGATCATAAAGGATCTTGGTGTGAATTTTTTGAGAAGAAAATCTAAACCAATAGATTTAATGGAATTGTCAACTGCCCAAAAACTACAAAAACACAACCCCACAAAAACAAACAAAAAACCCAAAAGAAAACCCCCCCACATTTATCAGTAAGAAGTCCAAGTAACTTCCAAAACCTCGTAAGCATCAGGTCCCAGTGGAGTTTTAAGAGATATTTAAAAGCAAACCGAGTTTGCTTTAGCAAAAGCTTCTGCCGAGTATCTCCCCCACAGCATGCTGTTAACTTTCAGACAAACAAGTGGTCTGCAGGTGGCACTATCAGCTGCATCGGGATGCACAGCTGTATATACAGCAACGGAGCAAGTAAGGGCGGGGAAACAACGACGTGTAAGAGCCTCGGAAGTGTTGAAAAGACAAGGTGAAATATATTGAAACAATCTATGAACTCCGGGCACATTTAGTATGTTAAGAGATGAAAGAGATGACGGGTGTATTAATCGTAACACCCATAAATGTTTCTTTGCTGCTTTAAGTGCACCCTTGCCCTGTGAAAAAACAGCAAAAGAAACAAGACAGTTGAAGACAACTAATAAAAGAAGATGAAAGGCACGCAGATGAAATAAACACAAAATTGGAACCAGGGGATTAATGGAAAAGTTAAAGGAGATAAGCTTCACATCGTAACAGCAAAGAGTAACAAATAAAAGCACCCGCTACTCATCGTCTTTCCTTGAAAGCAAGCAACGCGACCACACAGGAGACAAAAGCCGACAAGCAAAGAGCGAGGAAAACCGCCAAAATGCAAAGTAAGCGTCATGCTGCGGAGGCACATGCCTCATCCCCGGCCCGGGGCCGAGCGCTGGCTCACCTTCCCTCCCACCTTGGAATTTCACTCGGATTGTTTTGTCGATGTATTTGGAGAGGTCCAAAATACTCTCCTTCTTCTTCTTCTCCTTATCCTAAAGGAGAGGAGCAAAGGCAATCTGAATTGAAAAGAACCCTCCCCTGCCCCACTCTTCCCCTCGGTTACATGTACGCTCCATAACACTTATTTTTATAACACAGCTATGGAAACCGCCCCAAGGAAGAGCCATGGGACAGGGCTGACTGGCACGGCGGCGGGCCGGCACCGCGGGGCGG